AGGGATAGATGGAGAAAAAAGAGACATCTACAGGTAGAATGGGGGAGAGAGGGAGGAGGTGAGTGAGCAGGAGAGAAAAAGTGTGAGGAGGCTTGAAGAAGATCTACACTACACTGCAGGCCTGTGTGTCTGAGTGTTCATGCGTGTGCAGGCCTGTGTGTCTGAGTGTTCATGCGTGTGCAGGCCTGTGTGTCTGAGTGTTCATGCGTGTGCAGGCCTGTGTGTCTGAGTGTTCATGTCTGAGTGTTCATGCGTGTGCAGGCCTGTGAGTCTGAGTGTTCATGCGNGTGTGCAGGCCTGTGTGTCTGAGTGTTCATGTCTGAGTGTTCATGCGTGTGCAGGCCTGTGAGTCTGAGTGTTCATGCGTGTGCAGGCCTGTGTGCATGAGTGTTCATGAGTGTTACAGACAGTCCCTGGGTTACCGCGGTTGTCGGCTTGCGGTACAGTATGTAGTTACTGTTATTATTCTAGTATTATTATTATTATTTGTACTGTATTACTATTCAATCTAAGACAGTTGGTAACCTGGGGCTTGACTGTATGCATTTTTATTTATAGCATATTACTTCCAAGCCTTTGAAGGGTACGTGAGGTTTTAGGCCATTTAATAATGGCAGCGGTATAAATGCGAGTCACTGCACTTTCGGTTGCAGTGAGAGAGCAGGGCACTGCGCGGGACACCATGTGAGCAGACTACAGAGGTGCACGCTATTCTCAGAAGAATGCAAGCCCCCTTCCTGAGGCCTCTTTTGCTTCTGCCTGACATCTAAATGCAGTGTTTCAGAGACACATGCATAGTCGGCATCATTTATCGCCCGACTGCGCGTGTGTCTCAACTTTTACCTTAGCCTGGGGCTGGGGGGGTATATCAATATATTTTCAAAAACGAGATATAGGATAAAGCAATACCCTTTATATTGATATACTTTTAATGTGCATTAAAATGAGGGCTTTAGACTTTTAATAGAAACCAATAGCATTCCTTCCTGTTTGTATACAGCACAAGAACTTCGGTCGTGACCTTACACAAACTCCCAGAATCCATAAAGCTACATCAAACCACTCAATACTCTCCTTCACCTGATATTATTAACACACTCTTAACACATCCTTAGCACACCCTTAACAAACCCTTAACTGTGAAATACCTGACAGTAATTATATAACATTGCACCCCTTTAAGGGAGGGTGTGTGTTAAGGGTTACTAGGTTGCACACTGCAATAAGCCTCAGGTCAGGTTGGGGAGCATGAGGCTGATGCAGCGCGTTGCCGCACCCACCACACGGCAAAACTCCTCGGGATCCCGGCCAGCGACCCCCCAGGCAGATACATGGTCCAGTCCCACCCTCCGGAAATGGCCATTCATCTGCCGCAGCCAGGTGTTACGTGGGCGTCCCCTTAGCCTCAGCAATGAGGATCCTGCGAGCCGGATCACCCTCAACGCGCCACATGGCCTTGGTGCCGTAACTGACGCTCCCTCATATTGCAGGTAATGTGCCTCATTCGGGACTCAGGACTCCTCTAGCAAAGGATTCGACACAAAGTCAAACCAGCGGTACCCAAGGATTCTCTGAAGAGACACAGTACGAAAGGCGTCCAGTCTTCGTCTCAGCTCACTGGATGGTGTCCATGTCTCACAGCCATACAGCAAGACAGGGAGCACCAGGACTGCAAAAATATCAGGAGCACCACAGACCCCTTTCCAGTGACCTCATGACACCCATGCTCTTCTAATCTGTCTGCTGACTTCATAAGAAGAGTCACCAGAGACATGAATGTCGCTACCAAGGTAAGTAAATCTCCTGACGAGGTCGACATTCCCCCCGCAGACAGACACACTACTGATGGCTGTGCCCAAGAAGTCATTGGATGCCTGGATCTTGGTCTTTAACCAGGACACCCGCAATCCCAGACACTCAGACTCTTCACTCAGTCTCTCGAGAGCCCCAATGAGAGCCTCTATTGACTCCGTTAAGATCATAGCATCTTCGGCAAAGTCAAGATCAGTAAATCTTTCTTCCCCAACAGATGCCCCACAGCCGCTGGACCCCACGACCCTGCCCAACACCAGGTCCATTCGAGCATTGAACAGAGTAGGAGCACGAACACACCACTGGCGAAGCCCAGAATCAACTGGGAAGAACGGAGAGATTCTCCCTCCACTCTGCACAGCACTCACAGTACCAGGGTACGGGCCATGATGTCCAGCAACTTCAGGGGGATCCTGCGAAGTCTCAGGATGTCCGACATGGAACTCGGTCAACTGAGTCGAACACTTTACGAAAATCGACAAAGGCTGCAAAAAACCTCTGCCGATATTCGGCAGTATGAGATATACAGACAGACAGACAGACAGACACGGGCGCGATGCAGGACTCACCATTGGTTGCAGTGTCATAAGGCTGAGCCTCTTCATAGTAACCCTCAGGGGAGTCCAGCAATGAGCACTGGGGGGGGGCGGGTACATACAGGGAGTCAGAGGGAGAGGTCATTGTGATGGGGAGGTCTGTCACACACCTTTTCCTCACCTAGGGATTTGAACCGGTGACCTTCCATCCACAGGCACAGCACCATAATCCACTGAGCTACACACACACACACACACACACACACACACACAGTCACACACACAGTCACAGTCACACACACACAGTCACAGACACGATCACACACAGACAGTCACAGTCACAGACACACACATAAGAGCATAAGAAATGCACACAGGACATGTAGGCCTTTCGGCCCATCGAGCTCGTTTGGGGGCCCCCTTGTTGCTGCATGGCGGAGGCCCAGCTGTTTTTATTGGTGTTTTTATGAGCGTACCTGTGTGACTCTGTGCGTGTGTGTGTGTGTTTTTGTGTGTGCGCATGTGTGTGTTGGGGTCACAGTCACTCATAAGGCACAGCTCCAGAGGTAGGATAAGCGAGATGGGCTGAAAGTGCAACATAAAGGCGGCCTTTGAATGCCGCCAACAGTCGGAAAATCCCTGAGCCAGAGGTCAGTGGGGCAGTGGGACTTAACGAGGGGCAGAGAGAGAGAGAGAAAGAGATGCAATCTGGAGGAGGGAGAGAGCGAGAGCAGGAAGGCAACAATCAACACGGGTGATCCAGCCCACCAGTGAACCTCCGTTAAACAGCATCTAAAACCCCCCAGAAAGCAGCCCCCAGTGCTGACGGGAAGATCAGGACCTGAAGCTACAGGCACGTACAGACCAGGACCTGAAGCTACAGGTACATACAGACCAGGACCTGAAGCTACAGGTACGCACAGACCAGGACCTGAAGCTACAGGCACGCACAGACCAGGACCTGAAGCTACAGGCACGTACAGACCAGGACCTGAAGCTACAGGCACGTACAGACCAGGACCTGAAACTACTACAGGCACGTACAGACCAGGCTAACAGCCGCTTGGTGCCATTAGGATGGGGTGTCAGAGCCACATCGGGGTGTGGGATCAGCGGAACCATGCCAGCAGAACCTCCGCAGCTGGCTGGGCTCTGAGGGCTGGGACCGCTTCTTCACCGTGGACATCGTCCTGCTGGCACACAGCTGGCCGACCTCATCGAACTCAGAAAGACTCTGGTTAGAGGAAGCAACCTCAAAGTTGCAGGAGCTCTGCCGCCAGGGAGCGATGCTTGTACTGTCCTCAGTAGATGGGCTGCGCATTACAGGGGTGCCGGATTTTTCTGGAAAAACTTGAGTGTGTATGTGCAGGAATGTACAGCAAAGGGATTCTGGGAAACGGAGCCTTTCCTAGCCATAAAGGGCGGTTATCACCAAGGAAACCCTGTTTGTCTTCAGGGCGGGGGTCACCGAGGCTGAAAGTCACGCTAGCCGGGTCCTTGCGTGGAGCACGGCAGTGTGTGATGATGGCATTCCCCCAGCCTGACTCATCCTGCCGCCCTTAAAGGGGCCATCTCTTCATCACACACTCAAGCTTTCAGGCCGGATGAATAACAAGAGTCCCTCACAAAGCGGGACGGGAGATTATCACACGATAAGGTCTCAGCAAAAACACACTCACACATGGCATGATGTATCCGAGATAATAATTACCATCCACCAGAGAGAACGGGAGACAGGGGCAGGCTGGTGATATGTCACTTAATACTGTGATCCAGGAATAGTGCACTGACACCTCCAGCACACCATCACACACTCTCAGAATGACAACTACGGGGAGGTAATATATGTGTGATATATATGTATGTATGAGTGTGATCATGTGTTTCAGTGTCATCACGTATGTAAGTATGACCATGTGTGTGTGATCACATACGTGAGTATAATCACATGTGTGAGTGTGATCATGTGTATAGTTGTGATCACAAATGTGAGTGTGATCACATATGTGGATCATGTATGCCATAATCATGTAAGTATGATTATGTGTGTAAGTATGACAGTATGAGTGTCCTGTGCTGTATGTACTGTGTTACATTGTGCCTGTGTTGTGGCTGTTTGTGCAGTGTCACAGTTTGACTGTGCTGTGTGCAGTGTCACAGTGCGCCTGTGCTGTGTGCAGTGTCACAGTTTGACTGTGCTGTGTGCAGTGTCACAGTGTGCCTGTGCTGTGTGCAGTGTCACAGTGCGCCTGTGCTGTGTGCAGTGTCACAGTGCGCCTGTGCTGTGTGCAGTGTCACAGTGTGCCTGTGCTGTATCTGTATGCACAGTGTCATAGTGTGTCTGTACTATGTGCACAGTGTCCGAGTGTACCTGTGCTGTCTGTACGGTGTGACACTCCCTGCATGGCTGCCTGTCACTCACCAGTAGAGGCTGGGGGAGGCTTGGCAGAGGAGGCTTGTCTTCCCGGCTGGTTGTTGAGGCACCCAGAAGGTTTGCTGAGGATGGATGGAGGAATACTGTGGTGACTTTTAATGGTGATGTGGAGGATGTCGCACAGCATTCACAGAATAGGCTACCTGCACATCACATGGTCTTTGGAGGTTTACTATGAATATATGCAGTTTAACGGCGATTGATGGACCCTAACAGGCAAAAGTAAAAGCTCAAAAATACTAGCAAAAATTAAGTGAAAGATTCTGATGGCTGAGACTGCGAGCGCGGCCTTCAGGAGGACTGCGGCAGCGGCGGATAGGGCTGCCCTGCAAACGGAGGGCCGCCACACTCCCGAGACTGCGAGCGCGGCCTTCAGGAGGACTGCGGCAGCGGCGGATAGGGCTGCCCTGCAAACGGAGGGCCACCACACTCCTGTGACTGGCAACAGCTTCAGTATCTCATGCAGGTGGCCTTCTAAGGAGGCGTGCTGCATGCGGGGGCATGTGGTGAGGTGAGCCGCCCAAAGCAGCACCCTCAGTGGACCCACAGTCCTCAGAGCAGGGAGGGGCATGCTGGCCCGGACAGCGGCCTTACCTCCATCACATGCGCTCTTCTCCAGCACTGGTGTGCTGACTAACACCTTGTTCATGTAGATGTACTCCTCGTCAGATGCCGAATTCACACCTGAGGAAGAGGAGAGATGCTCGGTCACATGCCGTGGTGTCCCTCTTTCCTGTGTTGCCTTAAACAGAGGACAGGATCCGCTCATGGGTACAGCCGCCCGGATATGTAGGCCTGGTGTAGCTCCCCACTGAGAGCTCTGCTCTTTAAGCCCAGCCTCACTGCATCTGCACATCAAAGCCACCATGATCCTGCTCCGCTTTATCAAGAAAGATCACATGGCCAATAACAGGCTTCCGCTCTAACACGGCCTATGTTCTATGTTCTAGACACATCTGAAAAAAAAATGTTCAATTCTTTAGCCATAGGAGCAAAGCCATCAAACTCATTTAGAGTGTCACTATAGACACCAACGAGGAATGCTGGCCCTCTGGGAATGTCTGCTACAACATGTTAATGGTACCAGTCAGTACTGCATGTTTGAATGGGAGGGCCTGATATTTTTAATGTCCTGAGACCCCTGGAAGGTTTTATTGGTTTGTTTGTATGATGGAACCCTTCACTGTCATCTTTTGGTTCAAACCCATTTGCTTGCTTGATATTACACTTGGTCGTGTAACTTTAATGTAATCTACTCTAATCTAATCTAAATTTGATCTAATTGCCTGCAGATGAGTCTATCTGCAGAGGTCCTGCTGACATAAACATCGCCACGATTACGCTGAACCCGCAGTAGCATGTCGGGACTCACCGCTGGCTGTCAGGTAGTCCTTCAGAAGCTCAGACAGCAGGCTCTTCTGCACTGTGGCCTCGCTGCTCAGGTTCTCACGATCTAGGACCATCAGGAACCTCTCGAGCTCTCCCAGCAGCCGGTCCAGAACTGGAAAAGAGGACTCAAGTGATTACAGTCGGGGTGCCGCCGGAGATTTTGGGCCCCATGAGTATAATTATATCGGGTACCCAAGGCAGACCAGTCCAATTACCATATTGGCCCGAATATAAGACAACCCCAATTATAAGATGACCTCCCCACTTTTTGGCCACTCTTTTTAGAAAAGATGTGTATGGAACACCAAATCTTAGCTTTATAAAGAAAAATTATTTTAAGAACATATAGTAAGTTGACCAGTAGCCACAGCTTAAAAAGCAATCACAGGCAACCAGATAACAAGTATATTAAACAGCAAACATTGCAAAAAACAAATGTATTATTGGGGGGAGGGGTTGGGAATAATGAATATTACAAACTCCATAACTCTTAAGAGCCCAGAACGTTTTCAATGAAGCAGATCCACGAGTAAAAATAAACGTACTGCGGAGAAAGACTGAGCCATATTAATAACTGATATGACAGCTCTTTAAAAATGAATGTTACTGTCTTTATTAACAGCCACCATCAGTTTAATTCCAGCAGCGGCACAGGCAGGGAAGCCAGCGATTCACACGACACTCAGGGATACAGGCTGAACACACAAACAGCCAGGGCAGTCTCACGTAAGAAATCTCACGGCAAATCTATATTACGGTAACGCAAAACACTCGTTACAAAATATCGTATTTGGCACCATTCATTCTCTTTTTTGTCTAAATCACAAATATAAGATGACCCCACTTTTTCAAATGTATTTTGAGGAAAAAAAAACCTCTTTTATTTGGGTCTATGCGGTATGTTCTAAATTTTTTACTAATCGTCCGACCCCCCCTTTGTGGGACCCTTGGCCAGAGGCTGATGATGATGATGATGATGATGATGATGATGATGTAAAAAGCTATTTAAACAACAATCTACATACTGGGAAACTACAGAAGCACTCGCAAATGCGACGGACAGCCAGGAAGGTGGGTCTCCAGCACAGAGTCCTCCTCTTCCTCCTCTGAAGATCTCAGCACAGACAAAGTGGCCAGTTGTGCCGTGAAAAGGTGTCACAGTCTTCAACAGTGACCATTTCAGACCAGGTGATGGAAGTCCCACTCACTCAAAGGAGACTTTCACTGGTCCTCAGAAGCAGTGTGTTTCACGCTGCCCACACTGTGCCTCCTGAGGTCAGAGGTCAGCTATGGCCATGAGAGGACAGCTTTGAGTGGCTCCCCCACCCCACACAAGCCCCCGCTCCATCAAGGCCTGATTTCACACTGACAGTGATGCAGGCCCTCAGCAGAGCTCGAAGTAGGCCAGGCCCAGACTGAAATGAAAGCCAAAGCATCACTTTTCTGTGAGGTCATACAAGGAACCAACAAAGGCGCTGGGGGGGGTTGGGCATATCAGAACACAATCACCTCAAAGAACATCTTTAACCGCAAGACAGAAATGGCTCACATGCATTACCAGCGAGCCCCCTCTGCTTGGCAGGGTGTACGTGGCAAGTCTGACTCGAGCAGGCCACAAAGGCGTCTTAAAGCGCTGTTGAGGATGACACTGCAACACATCAAAACACCACAC